AACAGAGTGCTCGCATTGCTTATCTTTAAGAATAAATTGCAAACCTGGTCCATGGTGAAGCGGACTCCAGTGGCGGCCATCAGCTGATGCCAGTGTCGGGCTCGTACGGCTTGGTTCTGGAGCTCCGCCACAGCCCGGAGGGAGATAAGGAGGTTTTTCACCGTGCCGTCGAGACCTCCGTAGGCGTCCCACGCTCTAACCTACAGGAGACAGAGGGCAGGAATGACTTCAAGGGCTTTTGACAGGCTTTGGCTTGAAGCTACAATTTCAGATTTAATTTCAGTTTCATTTATTCCCCTAAAAAATTAACTAAGTTGACATTAATTCAGGTACACAGAGGCCTTGCTCAAGGGTGCACACACACACAGTTGCAGCATAAAATAAAGACTTTACACTAAGCCCCCAACCCCATTGTTTGCTGTTATTATGCCAGACAAGCTACAGGCTATTATCTTGCACAGCAGTTTACAGTAATAATGGGGGCAGGTTTTTGAAAGTAGAATGGCACTCAGTGGAGAGCATATCTCCGCCAAGGTGAAACAGCCTTAAATTCAATCAAGCTGCACCAAATGTCATACACTCATAAGTATCAGTTCCCTAAATGTCCCTGATTTTTCCAGGAATTATTTCACATGAAAGAACTCATTACATTTGACAGGGTTGGATCCAGAAATCTTTTTCTCACTTTCTTTAACATTGCAAAATATGTTTAGATTTCCCAGGGAACAATTTATGGATCTTGATGAAAAAATCCGGCATGTTTATGGGGCTGATATTGATAATACAGTTTGGAACAGATCCCAAACAAAATCCAGATCATAAATGTGGTTTTGTAGGATTTTTTAGCATCTGTAGGGTAATAAACAGGGCTACAAATCTGTAATTACCACCAATGTGTAGCTAAGATAATGGTGATACAGTTGGGAATTGGTGTTGAATGTATGAGAATTTTGGGCCTTGGCAGAGGTTTGCGCTCTTTACAAATACTTTTTCCAAAAGTATGAGCAAACGTGTTTAGAATTTTAATTCTATATTGGTTGACATTGTCTGGGGTTGCAAAGTGTAAACTTCTCCCAAATAAAAAAAAAGGAAGACAGAGAGGCAGCTTACACTCTGACAGCATCTAGGATGATGGAAGTATAACTGTTCATAGAGGAGTTCACTGAATGGTCAACTGCAGTTGCAAATTAATTATTCATCGAAGATTTTCAAGATTCATTTTCCTCTTTTTCTCAGTCTAGTACACTTTTCTACCTCTATACTACTGTAAGTTATATTTCCTGGTCTTGCCCATTCTCCCCACTCACTTCTTTATCCAGGCCTCGTATATCTTTGGAGAAGCGTTTACACTCCAGGTCCATGTCCTCCACCTGGATCTCTCTCCACAGAGTTGTTGTCCATGCAGCGATGCTAGACTGCACCATGGTGATCATGTCCCACAGATCCTTCAGCAGGCCCACCTCACGCCTTGGGGATGAAATGGACAAAGTTAATTATTGGCTTCAAATTTGGCACAAGGCTTTTGTCTGCCAGCGTCGGGCTTCACCTGCATTGTCGGAGCTGTTT